GGTCTACGCACCCCCTCTTCATTCTGAAGCCTGCCTGGCCCTCACTAATCCTATGTTCCTTCTCCAATACTCCCACTATCCTATCGTTCAGCAGCTTACAGAACACTTTTCCTACTGTGGTCAACAGTGTGATCCCCCTGTAGTTTCCTGGGTCAGTCTTGTCTCCTTTCTTAAACAAGTTCACAACCACTCCTTCCCTCCATCTACTTGGCGTATACTCGTTTTTCCACACCCGATTGTACAGCAGTACCATCAGCTGGATCACCCACTTCCCCCCAAACTTCATGAAGTCGTTGACTATCCCATCCGCTCCTGCTGCTTTGTGGCACTTGAGCTTGTTCACACGCGCCTTAACCTCGTCATCAGTGAACTCCTTTTCTAGTTCTACAATCCCAACGTCTGCCTTCGATGTCTCTTGTTCTTTCTGGGCCCATGCATCCACCTCCTTCTTAAACACTTGAGTAAACCAGGGTATTAACGAACACCCCCCCTTTAACGAACACTTTTTTCAAATGCACGTCCCTCGGCGCACAATGCGCGGAGCCCCCCAATTTTTTTTTTGAAATCTTCAGCTTTCCGTTAGCTTTCGTTTGAGCACCTCCGCGTGTCGATCGGGTCAAGCACTCCCGAGATACAGCACAGCCCTCACCCACACCCCTTATGTGGGGCATCTTTGCCCTTTTCGGGGTCCTGCTGCTAAGCATGGGACGTAAGAGAGTAGACCCAGAGCAGGCCCAGAAGGCTGTAGATGCGGTACGCAGCGGTGAGATGTCGCTCCGCGTTGCTGCGAGGACCTACGGGTTACCGCTAGCCTCGCTGCACGACCGTGTGAAGAACAAGGTGGCCATAGATGCGAGGGTTGGTCCCGGGACTGTCCTGAGCAAGGAGGAGGAAGATTTCGTAGAAGACGTCTTGATCTACGCCTCCCGACACTTCTTGCTGTTGGGTCGGAGGGAGCTGAGAGACGCTGTGCGCAACATCTGCACCGACGGGCGCAAGGTGCCCTGGGACCCAGACAAGGGCCCTGGGGACAGCTGGCTTGAGGGGTTTATGGCGAGACACCCGGGTTTGTCGGAGCGA